TGCTGGGATTATAGGTGTGTACCACAACACTGAGCTCTTCTTTTTCCTTTTAAGATTCTTTTCTACAATATGAGAGGTTCATTTCATCCTGTCATTTTGACAGACATGTGGCTCAGGAAAACAACTCCATAGTACTCTGTTCCTCTACTTTCCCTCTTTCATTGGTTAGTCCTTGACCTTGGAGTAGGACCAGTTAAAAGGCAATGTCATCTCATTTCTTCATGAAATCTGAGCGATTGATCACCTGGTGGTTCCTGCCTTAGACATTTGGAGAGTGATGAACCAAGTCCTTTTGCTTTCGAATAATGCCTCATGTTCTTGTATAATTAATAAGATGATGAATTTAGCCTCCAAGGACACAGGGTGAGAAACTTTTATTTGGATTGGCTTACCAGTAGGGAGGACTATTGTTGCATTTACTTGTTTTTCATTTGTCTGTCTTATAAGGGATATTGACTAGCAATCTGGAAAGTCAACATGTACACTATTAGTCGTCAAAGTTGAGAGGATCAGTTTATTTGTATAAATGATTTTATTTGCAAATGCTATTAACTAGGGTGACTTTTGTCTAGTAATATTTACTCTTATCATTCTCTCCCTTTTTACTTTTGTGATTATATATTCTTCTTCTTTTTTTTTTTGGTACCGGGGATCGAACTTGGTACCTTGCGCTTGCGAGGCAGGCGGTGGAACCACTGAGCTAAATCCCCGGCCCTCAATTTTCTTCTTACAATTGATGTAAGGGAAGTGAACCTGTGTGGTTCTTTCCCAGAATTTCTTCCAGGCAGACGATCATGGCACACATCCACAGTAATGTCCTTTCAAGGGAAGCTAGAGGGTCACACGTGAATGGTGGTTAAGTAGTTCTTTTGTTTAGCTTAAGCAGTGTATTTAGTTAGACATTGTTCATGTCTCTTCAGTTGCCATCTTAGCAGTTCCAGCAACTGCTCACTAACCCCTATTTGTAGGAGATTATAGGAGAAAAATTATTTTGGATTTTCTTCTTAAAGTAGAGGAAGGTTGAGAATTAAAAATTGAATAAATACATAGTAGAAGCACATTTGCCTTTAATAAAATGCTTAAACCTTAATCTTATGGTATCTCTATAGCTGTTTGCAGACTTTTAAATTCTTATTAAATATCATATGCTGAGGAAACAGTGGCAAATGAGAGACATGGTCGCGGGCTCTATTATTGTAGAATGTAAATGGGTGGATGAAAGAGACATTATATTAACTGTACATATAAAACGATAGATAATAAGTGCTAGGAAGAAACTGTGAGGCATTATGAGAGAGCATATAATAGAGTAGATCTACACTAATGTAAGTATCCAAGGAATGAGAGCATGATGAGCTAGGGAAAGCCTCCTTAAGGAACTGACATTTCATGAATACCTCCAAAGTAAACAAGAATAAACTAGGCCAAGAGCTGAAGTTTGAGAGTTCCATGCACTGGGCATATCAAATTGGAGTTTCCAGGGGCTGGGGAGTTAGCTCAGTGGTGGTGTGCCTGCCTCGCAAGTGCAAGGTCCTAAGTTTGATCCCCAGTAATGGAAAAAAAAATGGAATTTCCTGAAGTAGAAGAAGGTTCTAAGAGCTTTCAAGGACTGAGGAGTATGAATGAGGGAGAAGTGGTAAGAGATAAAGTACAAGGTAAGGCAGAAATGCGTGTACTAGGAAGCTATTAAAGGGTTTTATGGAAGAAGTTGGTGCATGGTCAAATTGTCAGCTCAGAAGTGTCCTGAGAGAATTTATATTGTTCTCTGTTTTAAAATGAAAGCTTCCTGGCCCTTTAAATTTTAACACTCGGTCTTCTATAAAAATTATTAATTACTTTCACAAGGAAATGCCTCTTTCCCAGAAACTTTAATCGTAGCAGCTAGAAAAGAAAAATTCCTGGTTAATAAGAGCATCTACACCATTTCTCCTACCTTTTGGTAAATACTTTCGGGGGGGCCGTGTTTTGTCAGTTGTGGTGTTAGAATCGAGTCTGTCTATCCATTTCAGTGGTTCTCACATGTTAGCATGCATGGCACACAATCTTTCTGAGAAGCTTTCTGAGAGACATGGATTACTGGGACTAATGCCTGGAGTTTCTGACTTGGTCTGATTCATTATGATTGAACAACCCACTAGCTTCTGCTAGTGCTGCTGGTCTGGGATCCACATTTAAAAACCACTGACAGAACACTCTATGACCATTTGGATTCATTTCCAAGACATTCAGCTGGGGTATGCAGACTTATCTAGGCTAGTGGAGCTTAATGCCTTTTAAACACACAATTTTATCACCAACAGTAACAACATAATGCTCTTTGCAAAGGACTACTTTTGTGGATGAAACCATAAATAAAATAGAATGAGTTGATTTAATTGAGGTCTGGGACAAGACTATGGACTAAATGAGGTAAGTGGAGTGAGAGGTCCTAAATAAATAAAACAGAGTGAAGCAGAGGTGCTCTGGTTGGAATAAAGGAGATGGTGAATGTGAGTTGAAAGTGCTGAATTATTTGTACCTTCTCCAAATGTGGATCTTGGAAAACCCCTTAGGCAAGTTGGAACACTATAAGTCCTTGCTTTAATCTTTGAACAGAATGATACTCGTTGCTTCAAATAGAGATTGATCTGTTGGCCTAGATAGAACAGTGTTCCTTCTAATATTTACATTTGACTTAAAAACTTTGAGTGCTTACTACTGCATAGCATTATTCAAGGGACAAGGAAGAGAGGTAAAGGTATTTGAGGTCTGGGGCCTGACATGAAGATCCTTGTGTACTATTGGATAGATAAGACACAACTAAAGCATGCAGATATTTTGAATCAATATCAGAATTAGTAGTAAAGGCAGTGATGGTTGAAGGACATCACAAACAGGAAGAATCACATTGAGCAAGGGTTGCTACAGAAAGGAAGTTTCATGGAAAAGGTTGGACTGGATTTTTAGTGACTAAGAACATCAAATGCCCCAGTTAATGATGAACAGGATCTTTCAATATGCTTTTATATTCCTTGTTCCACTATCAATATGCTTTTATATTCCTTGTTGCACTATCATTTCTTTCTTTTATATATGAGGCTGAACAAAAGTAGATTTGTTTTTACATCAAAGTTTTTCCAAAAACTGAAATTTGAGGTATTAGTATATGAAGAAGACTTAATGACCCAGCTATACTTTCTTTTAATTTATGGTTCATAATTTATTGTCTCAAAACAAATTTTGATAAGTATGTAGTGTGTGCCACTGACTGAGCTATACATCCTGTTTATTGTATATAGTAACAAAGTAGTCATAATTTGTGACTTATAGGATTTAGAAATTAAAAAAGAAGATAATTATCTAATTAATTGGGCAAATAATTAAAATACCTTTATCATAGGTGCTAAGAAGGAAAATGTGAAAAGGTACTTGGTGTTTCTTTTAGCTTTGATTCTTCTTTTTTTTTTTTTTTTGATACCGGGGATCGAACTCTGGACCTTGTGCTTGCAAGGCAGGCAGTGGAAACACTGAGCTAAATCCCCGGCCCTCTTAGTTTTGATTGTTCTTAATGAAAATATTGATGTATTGGTAGGGACTTACATTTCTCTTACAGAGACTTTCAGGTTCCCATAACAGGTTATTAATTCCTTTAATAGGGAATATTGCTCTTCTTGATACTACTAAAAAAATTAATTGCTAACACCTTTCCTGAAATGTATGTATAGTTGCTCTGCAAAGTTTATGAGCTTTATAGGCATAGTTTTATATCATAGCGTGACATTTTTCAATGTCCTAATTTATTTTTTTTCCATTAAGTTTATTGGTATATTTTAGGTATAAAATACAGTTACATTCATCATTGGGATCTTGTACCTTTACATGAATATCTTGGTTCTTATTTTTTTCCCCTTCCCCTGCCCTCCCTTCACCCCCTCCACCCTTCCCTATTTGCAATGACTTTGTTTCCATTTTTTTCCTTTTCTCTCTTTTTTTTTCTCTTCTTTCCTTTCCCCTATCCCTCTTACTTCCCCTACTCCTTTAGACCTTTTCCTATTACACAATATCAATTATACATTTTTAAAATTACAATATTGACATTTAGAAGACATTACCACAGATTTTACAGAATTTAAAAAGGATATAAAAAGCATATTACAAAAATCTTTTTTGAAATAAATTTGACAACTTCTAAGAAGTACCTTGGAAGACAAATTAATGAAACTAACTCTGGAGGAAATATAAAATTTGAATAGCATCTATTAAAGAAAGTATATTCCTAGCTTGAAAACCTACCTATATGACAACAACAGGCTCATATACATTTTAACTGATAAATTATGTCAAACATTTAAAGCAGAAAGAAAAAGCCATATGTTCCTGTTGGTAGTTGGAGAAAAAGTATTGGACTAAATTATACAGCTGTTCATGGTAAAAGCTATCAGGAGACTAGAAGTAGAAGGGAACCTTCTCAACAGATAAAAGACATGTACTCCACACTTCCAGTAAATGCCTTATATGAATGGAGAAGATACAATGCTTTCTCCCTAAGGTTGGGAACAAGGGCAGATATGCCTACTTTTCATCTGTCCATTAAGCTTTGAAACATAGATCCTTTCAAGTTATTTTTATGTATGGAAGTAAAGGGCTGAGGTTAATATCCTAATTTCTTATCTCTGAGATAAATTGGTAAAATGAGTATCAAGTACTTAGCATATAGTAGATGTTTAATGAAAGATAGCTGTTGTTACTATTATTATTATTATTATTAATTGTAGTAGTATTTTTTCCCTCAGAGCAACATTGATCAGGAGGTCCCAGTGTGCCAGGACGTGGTTTGGTAGTGGAGGGGGAAGAGGAATTGCCACTAAATTAGAAAGAAAGTAAAGAAAGAACCCTGAAGACTGTAGAAGGCAAGCTTGATCATTTTGTTCACGTGAAAGGATACAGCTTATGACTGTTCTTTTTTCCCTGATTCATATGGAAAACCTTAACAATGTGAACATGATTTGTTTTTGGAGCAGGTGCAGAAGTCTACCTCAGACATTGTGTTACTCAGATCAACTTGAGAAATGGCAAGTGGGAAGTCTTCAAGGAAACAGGCTCCCCTGAGCAGTTTGATCTTGTTGTCCTTACAATTCCAGTTCCTCAGATTCTGCAGCTTCAAGGGGACTTTGCAAACTGTGAGTCTGCTTTTTGGCATACCTACCTAAATAAGTAGAATTTCTTTAATAGAATATGAATTTGCTTTAATTCTCATGACAAAGGATATATTACGGATTTCATTGATTTGGATCTTTCAAAAACCTCTTCTAGCACAGTTGATGATACTAGTGTAGGCCAAAGTGAAGCCCATCAAAATTTTTAACCACTTAGAAGCTGAACATTTTTCTTACTGCCTTTGCCTTCAAGAAGTCAGTATTGTTAATTGATGTGCAGTGGTGTGACCTAAAATGAGAGCAATCTTTTTGTGACCATCCTAGAGAGAAAAAGGTTTCTATGGTACCAGTTCTTATTTGGGTTCCCTCATTTTGAATAGTTTTGTTCTCTGGGTGGCCTTCCAGGTATTTACTCTGCTTGAGGAAATTGCCTAGCCACATTGTGAAAAAGAGATACAAGGGAAGGAATGGGTAGGTGGCTTAGTAAATTATTCTGGAGGAGCCAAAATTGTGGTAAAACAGCCAAAATTATAATAAAGGAACTAAAATTCAAAGGAAATTCTTTTGTCTGAATAAGAAAAAAAAAGGAAAATATTTCATGCTAAAAATAACAAAGTTTTTCTTTTAAGGAGTAATATAACAGGCTGATGATAAGTAGACCACATCTTACTGAGCATGTCTGGTATTGATACCGGAAATTATATTGGAGATGAAATATGAAATATTATATCTCCCAACCTGTTAGCTGTCTGATATGCTGAGTTCATATTCTCTAAAAATCAAAGAATGAATTATAGGAACAACAGAGGTTAAGAGTAGGAAGATATGTATTGATAGGATAGCTTCTGAGAGGCAGGAGGGGATTCAAATTCAAATGAGTAATCGGGGACCCCACTCTATAGGGGAGTTTTATGGATTAAAACCCACGTGGGCACAATGTAGGCCACAGTCATGATCAAGCAATAAGGTTACACATATAGTCAATTAGGTAATAGTGGTCCAATTAGGAAACAAGTGATGTAACAAATGTGTATGGAAAGAACAAAGACTTCTAGGAAATGATGGATCCAGAGGTCTCTGGTCGCCCACCAAGGTGACCGATGTCTGTCTAGACTTCATTAGGGCCAGTGTTTGTCCTTTGAGGAAGTATATAGGTCTGGTCATCTTGTCTTTATCTTAAGGCCTGGTCTCCAACGGATGTGTCTCCAGGCGCAGTTGTGGTATGTTTCACCTTTGTCCTGACTCTCTTGAGGACTTAGCCCTATCTTACTGCCTATAATATTTCTACCTAACTCAGCTGTCTCTAATAGTATCATGAATTAAGAATATTTATGTAGAGAAACTGTTGAAGTATTATAGAAAATTTTTTAAAGAAAGCATAATTTTTGTTTTGTCTACAAGAAATTTTGATTTATGCAACTGAGGACCCATTTTTTGTTTTATCAAGCTGAGAAATGACAAATAGGAAGTCTTCAAAGATGCAAGTTCCCCTGAACAGTATGATCTTGTCCTCAAACTGTCAGTTCTTCCTCTTTCCTAGGGAAACAGTGATATTTTCAAATATCACTGGATTGGGGAAAAGGGGCTGTAAGACTCAGTTGTTCCCAAACAAGCTGAATGTATGAAGAAAGGATAAATAAACTAGGATGAAATGACCTTATCATCAAGTATAGTTTCTGCATGTAATCTAAGTCTGACTTTTCCATCTGCCTCCTCAAAAGATCAATCTTAGTTTCATTCCAACAAAGAAATAAACTGATACTGCTCTTTAAAAAAAAAATTATACCTAATGAATTAACCCTTCTAAGTTTCAGATATCTGTTTATTTGAAGCTGGTGAAATTATTGTTATATGTGGTGATAATAGTTAATGAGTTTCCATCAAATTTGATTTCATAATCATATTTTGTCGTGCCACCAGTAGGCTTGGTTAATTCTTGCTATTCTTAATCACCTACTGGGGAATGTTACTGAGCACAGAGAATGTTATTAAGGGCATTTAATATGCTAATTAGAATTTCCAAATTAAGGCAGGGTATTTTTAAAAGCTGCTCTCTAGTTGTACAGGATCTGTAGGCTTTATGCTTTATGTGTACATCTAGTTCATATGTTTTCAAAGTATTTTAAAATGAGCTATTTTTATTTAACAATGCTTTATTTCATGAAAATCTAGCTAACAGAAAACTGTTTAAATAGTGCCTATTACGAGGTTGAGTTATATAAAATTGTCATTTTTTAGGTCAAAATGGTCAGATTTTGGCAATTTCATGTGAGTCAACTAAATACTATACATAGCTTTTGAAGTTAAAAAAATGAACAGAGCCAATAATTAGTAATGTACATTTGAAGATTTCTTTAGGATTATAAAGAGTACTTTGACATGTACCTCTCATTTGGTATGTTACTTCTAATTTCAGTGCTTTTCAAAATATTTCATGAAGTATTGACATGAATTTAATATCCCAATCTTTTGTTTTTATAATTTGAATTGGTGTTATTTTTATCCTTCCTAAGTCTTTAAAGGTTGCAGTTGGTTTAACATTATTCACTTTATTGTTAGGCTTTGTTTATTTTCTTTTTAAATATAAAATGTATGGTGGGAGAGGGGAGCCTAATTTCTTACCTTTTTCCAAAATAGATTCAAATCTGCAAGCAACCACTTTAGAAATGCCCTTTACATGCAAATCTCTTTCCTATTAAACAACTCTTGACTGTTTTTGAGGGTGGAAGTGGGGAGTAAGATACCTAAGATTTTCTCCACTATTAAATAGGGGAGGGTTTCTGGTGAACTATCTCCAGAAACTCCTAAATCCACAAATACCACTTTGTTGCCACTGTAATTCAACACAGGTGAGATACTAGCAGCAGGAAGCTTCTACTTTTACTGTTAGAGATGCTGGCCATAGGGGGAAGAGAAGAGAACATCCTAGCACATAAATGAGAAATTATGATTTACATATGAGTGATGGAAATCCTTGTGTGTATTTTTACTCAACTGCAGAATAGGTCAATATCGGGAAAATGCACATGTAGGGATTCTGAGAGCTGAAATTCCTATACTAAGTGATGAGAAGGGGATTCAGATATGAGAAACAAAGGGAATGGAGGTATTTAGGGCAAGGAGGATACATTTTTCCAAATAGGAACAATTGCTCAGCTTTTGTCAAGTCTGTTTTCCTTATTGATACTGAAATTCTAGCTGACAGTGTGCATTTTAATCATAGAAAACTCAGAATTAGATGAGGCCTTAGAGAACAGCTAGTTTCATCATTTAGCCCTTGTATGAGTTTTTATAAAGACAGTCATACTTTTAAGGTATATTGACATATGAAAAGACATACATATTTAATGTATACTGCTTGATGCATACAGAGATGTGACCAAAATATATGATTAATGTTTAAATGTAAAAATTCATTACAATAAAAGACATATTGCTATTAATCCCCCTCAAAACTCTCTGTCGCTTCAAAACACACTTATCCCATTTTCCTTTGCCACTCTCTAAAGCAGTTCTGAAAGTGCTCTGTCCTGAGTGTCTTTATGATGTGTGACAAAAAAAAAAAATATGGTGAGTGCTGCTGGTCAGTATCATCCAGTGAAAGGCAGGCTCCCTTGGCTAAAGCTCCCCCTGCCCAACTTCTCTAATGAGAGCTATAGAGAAAATTCTTATTTATTTTTAACCTATAAATGTCAATTATGGCTTCTATGTGAGGAATTAGGTAATGTCAGTCTTTTTATGTTGTCTGGAGAACCTTAAATACTTTTCATTTGATTTTAGACATCCTTAAGTGGCTATGAAAAATATCCACTTAAAAAGCTACATGTTGCCATCTAGTGGGTCAAGTACATATTACAATTCTCTTTAGAATCTTTAGCACTATGAAGATGATTGGACCATAAACACTATGACTATAATATAATTTACAAAATTACATGTCACAGGGACACAAATTTTGGTCCATGAGAACTAAGTTATTCAAAAGTGCATAGTTAGTAATAGAAGTAAGGATATGTGAAAGGTCACACATTTATATAAACTGTGAACAGCCTCGTGTCTGCTTTTCTCTGTGTTTTCTCATTTTCTTTCTCCTGAATCATGTCTAGGCTTTAAAGTCAGCATAAGTACTCTCTCCTACTTGAAAGAATTGCCCTTTGATTATAGTGTGGTTTAAATTTTCCATTACCTAACATTTTATTTTGATTTTTTTACAGAATAATAGAACTACTTATTTTTTTCTTTTGGAAATTATTTACTATACTATTACATTCTCCCCACTGGAGGAATAGGGAAGCTTCATGTACCATATAGTGAACTTCTTATGATTTACCTCTGGTTCTATAGTTGTTACTTTTTCTGTATTAACATTGCAATGCTATGTCATTTAATCCTCAAAGCATCCCTAGGCATTATTATCATCATTATTATTGTTATTATTATTCATTCCTTTTGCTAAAATTGAGATGTGAACCTAAGTAGCGTGGCTCCAGAACCTATGTTTGTAGCTAATGTTATGCACAGCTCTCCCATATGTGCTTTGTCTTAGACCAGTGGTGGTGAACCTATGGCAGGCATGCAGACTGCAGCAGGCATACAGTGCCCCCTCTGTCATCGCATGAGCCCAGTCACCCCAGCCAAAGTTTGACAAATTATCAGCATGCACACAACAGCAAAGATCACATGAACTGTGCAGAAGCATGCCAAATGCAAACTTTTACCTTGCAATAAAAAGCTGTTTATATCATTGAAAGTTCTGTTACTGTATTTTTCTTGTAAGGCAAAAGATGTTAATGTATGAGTTGTTTTTTTCTAAACTAAAAGCTCAGTATTCTGTTTTAATTGCAGTGTTGGCACTTTGTGATAAATAAGTTGCAGTTTGGGCACTGAGTCTCTAAAAGGTTCGCCATCACTGCCTTAGACTGTCCTCTTACTGAGTGATGTCACAGTGTCTTCATTCTTGCTGAAAATTGTAAGGTGAACTTCTGTGAAGAGTATGATTCCTAATATATGAACAGGGCTCAGGA